TGTGTTCGGGTAGGCGGGGCGCACAGGCTGAGGACTGCAGGGCTTCCTTCAGGCCCCCAGCCAGGCAGCAGCCGGTGCCAGATGCCGGTGCCAGATGCCGGGCAGGACAGCTGGCCCCGCCTGCTCATCCCCTGGGGGTGGAGGTACAGCAGCGAGCAGGAAGCAGTGGTGCGGGACAGGCTGTCCCACAAGAGGCTGACAAGCGGGGCTCTGAGGGGCTGAGAGTGACCTTGGGCAGGAGCTGTGCTAGCTCCGTGTTAGGAGGGCTTCCTGGAGGAGGCAGCCTTGGAGCCAGACCAGAGGAGAGAGAAAGGCACATCCTGGGGAGGGAACAGGTGGTACTGGGGCGGGCACCTCGGGTGCAGCAATGTGCAGGGTGGCAGAGGGTGACCAGGTGCCAGTGGGGGTAGCAGGAGGCAGGGGCGGCTGGCAGGAGGGCTAGGCAGAGTGGCATGGGCACCTAGTGAGGAGCGTGGGAGTGAAGGCACCGGACACCCTGACCCCTGCGCTCCCGGCCTCCCTCTGTCAGGCCCCCTGCCACACCTGGGCCCGTCTCTGCCCAGCCTCTGTGGGACTTGGGGTCCCCCCATCCTGCAGGTGAAGGCCCCAAGGCCCCTTAGAGAGCTGGGACCTGCCCCACCCGGACTGCCAGGGTCCCGGGTCCCAGAGAGTGCGTCAGCCCAGGCCTCAGGATGGGCCCTGGCAGGGTGGCGCCCAGGACAGAGAACTAGTGCCAGGCAGTCAGTGAGACCAGCAGGCGTGTTCCACGGCCCCACGGGCCACTGGGGTGTGCCAGCCACGGCTGCACTGTCCAGGGGCTGAGGCTTGGCAGAGCTAGACGTGGACAACCAGCTCCTGTCTCCTCCGGCACCTGCCCCGCCCAACCATCCTGCCCTGGCACAGCCCTGTAAGTCCCCGCCGGACCCTCTCCCTGCTGGGAATGCCAGGGCTCCCACCACAGCGGAAGGCCGTGCTTCTGCGGCCGTGGCCACAGGAAAGACGCACAGTCTGGATGAGCTGCCGGGCTGGTAGGGGGGCCTGGACAGGGTGGGTCCGACGACCGTGTGGCGTCCAGGGAGACAGCCTCTGCGCTATCGGTGGGGCCCACCTGCCTTTAAGCGAGTCCCGCCTCCCCGCCCGCACCTCCCTGTCATTCTCAAAGATGACATTTTCTCCCCACGAGCTCCTCTTATCTCCTTCCTGTTAAAGGATCTCAAATATGCACCCCGATAAGGTGGAACAAACACTGCTTCCCGGCCCCTTCCAACGCCTGCCTCCGCTTTCCCCAAAGTAATTAAGATAAATGCAGCTGATAATTTGCGCTGTATTCTTAAACGCACCCTCGGGCCATATCTCAGATATAATTTTACCTGCAAAGGTTTATCTGGGCGCTCAGGTAACAGATAGTTTTTAGGCCAAGCGGCGGCATTTGAAGGAAAAGGAAGGGAATGCCTGTAACATAAATGTCAGAATGAGCCAGCGCCACGGCCCCACGGGGCCAGGGCTGCTGGCAGGAAGGGCGCTGTTCCAGGCTGCTCCCCTCCGCTCCACACCCCCGGCTCTAGGGCCCAGCTGCGGGAAGGGCCGAGACAGGGGTGGCAGGGAGAGGGGTGCCCCCAGGAGCGGGTGTCAGCCGCTCCTCAGGACGGCCTTCGGCTGAGGCCCCTGCCCAGCCGGCCAGGACGCAGGGCACCTGCCTTGGCCACCACACCCGTCAGGAGGCTGGCAGTGCCCAGGTCGGCTGGTGCCTCCCAGAGGCCCAGGACACCACCTGGTCGTTGAGGCAGGCCCTTCCAGGCTCTGCGTGCCCACCCTGCTGCGTGAGCCTGGACGGGCCCAAGTCCCCTACTAGCCTCAGTTTCCAGTCAGCACACAGGTCAGGCTGAGCCCAGAGGCTCCTGCCCAGCAAGCACACATGTCTTGCCTCCTGTTGGGCGGGCAGGACGGAGAGTAGGGCCTGGGGCTGCCCGCCATGCCTGTTCTCAGTGTGCCTGGCCCTCTGTGGCTTCCCACTAACCACCATAAAGGACAAACTGGCCTGCCCCTCGCCAGCGCCGCATGCTCACCAGCCCAGCCTTGGTGGGCCTCCCAGCTCAGAGGCTCTGCCCTGACACCGTAACACACCCTGACCTGAGGCTGGCCGTGCGTGGCTGAGGGTCACCCCCTCAGGTAGGAGGCCCTGCCTGCCCACCACCCTCAGCAGATCCCACTTACCCCCTTTGCCCCATTCACCACCGACAGCAGAGTGTAGTGTCCTGACCCATCACGTCTCTGCCGCCGACCTGGGTGAGAGACCCGCTCCCTGTCTGGGCAGGCTGGCAGCAGAGGCCGGGGAGGCCACAGGGCCGAGCGAAGCTTCAGTGCCCACCAGGGCCATGAGTCGAGATGTCCCTGGTCATGGAAGCTGGAGCCAGGACTGGCCTGAGGAGCCGGCTGGGGAGACCGAGGCCAGGAGACCCAGGGCACAGGGGGAGGTCGGTACGCAGCCCATCCTGTGGGCAAAGCTTGTGCCACCAGGATGGGGACATACATGTACAACCAGGAGGGCTTCTCAGAAGAGGCAGGCTGCCAGGTGCCCACTGGTGTGTGGGGGATCCAGGTGGGTCATCCCTGCCATCTTCGACCAGAACCCTTTGAGGTCAGGACTTCGATCATCCATCCCCACCGTATGGAGTGGCTGTGGCCAGCCCGGGGCCCACAGCCGGGGGGTCTGGAGTTGGGACTCAAGCTCAGGCCTGGCTGACACCCACTGCTCGACCTCCCTGGAAGCAGGCGGGGACCAGGAAGATGGGGAAGGGAAGGAGGCACCCCAGCTTAGAACCCCAGGGGGGACTGGCAGGGAATGGCCAGCATGGGGCCCCTGTGGGGCTGGGAGAGGAGAGCCCAGCTGTGGGAGGATGGAGAGGCCATGGCAGAAGCAGGGCAGGAGGAGAGGGGGTTGGGCACGGAGGCCAGATGCTGTGTAGGGCCTGGGGTCCTGGGTGGGGGCGTTGGCGGGCAGGCCCAAGCCTTCGGCTGGACAGCCTCTCACCAGGACCTGCTGTCCCACACCCCAGAGCAGCGCCACAGTTTTGAGTTACCTAGAGAGCCGGGCCTGCACGAGGGGCCAGGTAGTGTTTCTGAGGGAAAAGGAGACGCCTGTGCCCCTGGGGGCTCCCTGGGGCACCCCGGGGTCTCAGGGATTAGGTCTCCCAACTTCAAAGGGGCCCCAGGCCTGCTGAGAGACTGAGGGGCTTGGCCAAGAGCCTGGGCAGGGGCAGGAACCCAAAGCCCAGGCACAGGCTGCCCCCACCCGCCCAACCGAGCCCGGGTCCTCAGGCCCTAGAGTGCTGCAGATAGAACACCCAGCCTGTCCTGGGGCCAAGGAGCGTGATGGGGTGACTGAGCTCCACTCACAGGCTCAGCACGCAGGCAGGGCACCCCAGGGGCTCCACGGAGGTGGGGGCCATGGTGCAGAGCCCCTCGGTCCAGTGCAGGGAAGCGGCCCCAGCAGACCTGTTGCTTAGCCCTGTGCACTTCACCATGTTGTGACTGGGTCCAGTCACGCCCCCTCTAGCATGGTTTTCCACATCCATGGCTTTCTGTTGGTTTTTCCAGAAAGCTCCATGAAGCAGTGGTCGTAAGGAAGTTGCTCACCGCTGCATGCCCAGTGCCCAGCATGGACGTAGAGACCCCTGACCACAGGAGTGTGTGGAGTCGGGAGAGGACAGGGTCTTGGGTGGCCTCCTGCCAGGCCCCTCCCTCCCCAGGCCTCACCTGCCTGCCCCTGGGGAAGGGGTGCAAGAGGCACGACCCCAGTGGGTTGTTCTCAGAGATGAGCTGCCTGCTGCTGTGTGACAAATGGCAGCTTAAAAGAGCAAACCATCGTCACTGCACCTCAGCTGTGGTTCAGCTGGGTGGGTCTGGCTCAGGGCCTGTCGGGAGCTTGCCCTGGGGTGTCAGCAGGGGCTGCCATCTCGTCAGAAGGCTCAGCCGGGGCTGGAGGGCCTGTTTCCAAGGCGGCTCCCCTCGTGGCCCCTCCACAGGTCTGCATGAGTGTCCTCGGCATAGCACTCGTGGCCCTGAAGGAGCCGCCAAGAGGCAGACACCCCAGTGCTTTCCACAAACTGAGGTCTAAGGCGAACACCCTCGTTCCAGCCTGTTCTGTCAGCAGCGGCCGGTCACCCGGTCCTGCCCACATTCAAGGGCAAGGAGTTGGAGGCAGGAAGATGGAAGAAATTTTTGGCTGAATTTTACAACCATCACAGGGCTGACTTGACAGCCTCTCCAACTCACAAATGCATTTGCCCTTTGACCCTACATCTTCCCAGGGTCACCCTGCAGGCTGTCTGTCACTGTACCCTGCATAAAGGCCACGGGAGAAGTCTGACACACGAGTAGCTGGCTGTTCATCCTGCAGAATATTCCATAGCTTTGTGGGGGTGTAGAGATGAGCAGATAGACAGGCATCTCTTTGTGGAGGTACCTCCAAGATACAGCGTCAGATGCAAAACACAAGGCCCAGGCAGTGGTGTATAGACCGTCTTCTATGGAAGAAAGTGGGAAATGGGAGTATTTATTCAACTGCATCAAGAAACTATGGAAGGAAACACAAGATGCTTCCCGAGTCCTCACCCAGCAGAACAGGGGGAAAGGGGTTGTGGAGCCAGGGTGGGGGGCCTCCTGCTGTGGACCTTGACCCTTGCCTTGAATTTGGGAACCCTGTGAGTCTGTAATCTACGCACACATAAGAACTTAACAAAAAGAGCTGTACAAGCAAGCCTGCGATGAAGGCAGCTAGCTGACCCACAGGGCCCGCAGGCCAGGATGAGCCGCCCACTGGTCCTCGGGCTCACGCATCTCCCTGCAGCCTCGTGGCAGCTCCCTGGCACCCTGGGGCCCTGCCAGCTCTGTGTGGTGTTGTGGGGCCCAGACTGGGAGCCATTCCCTCCATGGGGCACCTCTGGGGCTCTCAGCCCCAGCCAACATCGACGCCCACACGCTTTCCATTTTCTTTGCAGCCAAGACATCCTCGTTCCTCAGGAAGCCGTGCGGCTACCAGCTGGGGGCCCGACAACACAGGTATGTGAAGACTGCCGCCCGCCCCCAGCCGGAGGGGACCTCACCCGCCGCACCCGGGGCCGTCTCCTTCCACCCTCCAGCTCAGGCAGCAACTGGGGCTGCCAGCTGCCTCCCCCCAGGGACGGTCTCCCCGCTGGCTGTCGGGGACGACACGCGGCTCTGAACCGCAGCGCTGAGCTGGCGGGCGGGGCAGTGTGGGACGGCAGCTTGTCACCCACCGTGCTCCGCTGCCTGGCACACCAGGCCCCCTGTCAGTCAGCGCCTTTCCTGAGAGGCCCACAGCACAGCTTCTCACGTCAGCAGTCAGCGTCCCACCCGTTCCCCAGCCGCCCTGCCTTCCTACAGCCCCTTCCCAGAGCCCCAAACTGGTCCCCTTCCTGTGGACCAAACAGTGTACTGTTAACAGGGAAACACCGGTTCCCACCACATCTCTGCTAGCGCCTATTCCCCCTTGCCACGCCCATTTGAGAAAGTCCCAGGATCCTCCCCAGGTCACAGGTGGGGAAACCCAGACTGCGAGAGGCTGCGTGACGTGCCCGTGCAGGTCAGGGGACCGGAACCAGGGCCAGCGGCCTTCCCACCCCTCCTGGAGAGCTGTGACACTAGACCTGTGGGGCCTCCACGGCGCCTGACGGCTGCTCTGGCCTTACCCACCACCCCCTGGGAAGCTCCAGAAGTTGTGAGGAGGCCCAGGCCCCTGGCCCTCCCCTTCCTCTGCACCAGCGTCCCAGGGCCTGCTGACAGAGGCCCTGCCAGGTCAGGGGGCCCTTGGCCCACTTGCACACCTGACCCCTCGGCCTTGCTGCCTTCTGCCGTTGGAGGCCTGGGCCTGGGTCGGCCCGGGTCCTGCCCCCTAGGCTGTCAGGGAAGTTCAGGAGGGGCTGCCTCACAGGCCTAGGGAGGGCAGACACCAGCCCCCAAGGGGTTCAGAGCTGCCTCCTGGCCCGACTCCCACTGGATCACAGCCCTGCGATTTGGTGGCAGGCTCTGCCGTGGGGTATCCCTGGGGCCAGCAGCAAGAAGAGGTGCCCCAGGAGATGCCCTGGCCTGGGTCAGAGTGCATGGAGAGGCGGAGTCCCCTCGCCCAAGCCACTGGCTGCAGCCCGGCTGCCCACTCACTTGGGGTCCCCACTTGCTCACCCTGCAAAGGCCTCATCCCTCATGAACAGACCCACTCCTGGCAAGTCCCTCCCTGGGCACAAGCCTCATAAGGCCCCCAGCAGCCTCATGCCTGCCTGTGCTTGTGATCCCCACTCCTTTGTGCATCCCTCTCCGCCCTACTGCCCCACACCTGGCCACCCACGTGTCCAGAACCAATGCCACCTCCTCCAGGAAGCCTCCTTCAGGGCCACAAGGTGGCCAAGCAACCTGGCCTCAGCTTGTGATCTCGGCCCTGCAAAGGCAGCAAGATGGATTCCTGGGTCTGAACTCTAAAAGCCTCTGCTCAAAAGTGGCCTCAGTCCTTGCTGTTCAATATCTCGTGGCCATATCAAGCCACGGGGCCACGTCTGCCAGCAGTGGGACTGGCTGGGATGATCCCCCGTGGGAGACAGGGAATCTTGAGTGAAGCTCCGTCTGCCTGCCTTGAGCCCCAACAGGGAGCTTTCTGGGCAGAGCTCAGGGCTGCTGATGTTCAGAGTGACAAGCAGGCCTGGGGACTGCAGGTGCCTCCAAAGGCAGGTGGCACCGTGGGGTAGGAAGCTTCTGCTCCTCCTTAAAAACCCACATAGGATGAAGCAGGTGGCCCTGCAGCCTGGAGGGGCTGACAGACCCCAACGCTTACCTGGCTTCAAGCAATGCCCCAGGAGAAACAGCTCAGCAGCCCCATGAGCTGACGGGGAAACTGAGGCCTAAGGGGCACTGGCATTCCGAGAGTGCCCCCTGTGTGCCTGGCACCTTGTGAGGTTGCATAGATTGTTGAGCCTCAGGATGGACACCCCAGTGAGGGAGGCACCATATCATGCCTATGTCCAGGGCATGGGGTCCTACCTTTCCTCAGCCATGGGTGCCACAGGGTGCCAGGTCAGACCCCAGGCTGTGTGCAGACAGCAGGAGAGGGTGCAAGGCCCCTGGACCAGGTGTGAGCCTCAGGCCTGGCTCGGGTGCACCCAGTCCCACCTTATTCCTGCAGCTCCATCAGGCAAAGGTGGCCCCTGTCCCTCCAGGACTCTCCTCTAATCCTGCCTGAGTTGTATCTCAGGACACACAGGCGGCCACCAGCTGCTGTCATCCCTGCCACGGGGCTCTGCAGGCGTGGGAGCTTGTGTGCCACACAGACCCTTTCCACTCACGGCCTGGCCCATGCCAGCAGGGCTGCTCCGAAGAGGCCCCCAAACAACATTCCCTGTCCCCCTCCAGCCAGGAGCCACCCGAGATGAGCCCCTCTTCAGCCCCCATCCTGCCATAGCCACCACAGCAGTCACCAAGTCCCATGGGGCATTCTCACTCCTGTCCTCTCCCTGCAGGCTCCACTCGGGACCATGAGGACACGCTTCTCCAGGGCCCCCCACGGAGTGAGGATGCCCACCCAGTCTACTCCCTGCAGCCCTGCTTGGACCACTGCACCCTTCTAGCACCCAGACAGAGGGGCCATGCCCGGGGAGCAGCGCCACAGAGCCCCACCCCCAGCCATGACCAGGGACCTGCCGCCCTGCCAAGTAGCCAGCGGCACAGGAGGCCCCTCCCAGCCTCTCTGCGAGGACAGTGCCCCAGCCAGCAGGACCGCCAAGACCACAGGCAGCCGGGCCCAGGCCGCGGAAACCCCTGAGCCCCAGCCACAGCAGCCCAAGGCTCCTCCCCTGAGAACGCATCCCCGCAGCAGCCCCCCGGCCCCAGCACGGAGGAGCCTCGCACAGGCCCGCATGCGGAGGGCCAGCAGGGCGGACGGCAGCCCGCCCCAGCAGCTCTTTGGTCTGGGCATCTCCGGCTCACGGGCCAGACCCACCCTGGACAAGAACCCTGAGGGCCCACAGCACAAGGCCCCTGGGCCCCCAGAGGCGGAAACCCCAGCTACCCCAGAAGAGCTCAGCTGCCAAAGGTGCTTCCAGGAGACCCCCACCAACTTCACCTCCACCAACTATACCTCACCGAGCACCACCCCCAGGCCCCAGCCCCACAGAGCTCCGCAGAACAGCGGGGCTAGCCCCTGCCATCCAGCCTCCTACTCGGAATTCCAGACTGGCAGGGCCGACTTCTGGCCTCCCACTGCTGAGAACAACTTTCCAGGTGCTAGTTTTGGGGTCCTCCCCACTGAGCCGGAGCCCTTCCCTGAAGACAGCAGCCCCAGGGGGGCCTCCTTTCAGTACCGCTTCCCAGCTCTGCACGGTGCTGGCCTGAAAGCGTTCCCTGAGGACACTGCCGGGCCCAAGTATGCAGAGCGGGCGCTGGCGTTCACCTTCCCCCAGCCTCGCGGAGCGTGGCCGGAGGAGGTGGTGGGCGCAGACACAGCCTATCCCGTGCCCACCCGGCCTGCTGCTCCACCCCAACCCTGCTACCCAGGCCGGCCCAGTGGCCCCGCGCCCCCCGCTGACCTCACCCATGCTCCCCATCCCCCTGGTGCTGCCCCCTCAGCCCCCAGCCCCTTCTCTGAGAGGCCCCCTTCGGCCCATGATGGACTGGGGAGCCCCAGGGGGCCCCCAAGCTCTCTGCCTCAGAGGCACTTACCCCAGCAGGCATACGGAAGCCCTGGAGCCAGTGGGGTGGGCACTAGCGCAGGGTCTCCGGACACAGAGCTGGCCACCCCAGGGCCCCTGCCTGCCAGACTGCCCCAGCTGTGGGACCCAGCTGCAGCCCCTTACCCCACGCCTCCCCTGGGCCCCCCAGCCGCCACCAGGAGTGCGTTCTTTGAGGGCCAGCCCAGCCCAGGCCAGCGGCGTGGCCTCCCCCACAGTCCCCCACTCCCCTGGCCCCAGGCACTCCCTGCCACGGGGCCCAGTCCCCATCGAATGGAGATGCTGAGCCAGCCGCCTCTCCCCTCTGGGGCCCCGGAGTGGCAGGGGGTCAGCCAGGGAGGCCTGGGTGCTGCTGGCAAGACTCCTGGGCATGGGGAGAAGCTGACAGTCCTGAGAAAGAGCCCAGGCCAGCCCGGCGGTGGCTCCCCCGGACTGTTCCCCTACAACGGACTGAAGGACCCTGGAGCCCAGTCCCTGTTCTTTGGGGTGGCCCAGCCCCAGGTCTCACCCCGGGGCACCCCCGGCCTGCCCCCTCCCAGGGTGGTGGGGGCCTCGCCCAGTGAGTCCCCGCTGCCCTCACCTGTAACCAACACTGCGGGCAGCAGCTCCTGCTCGTCACTGTCACCGCTGTCCAGCAGCCCGGCCAACCCCAGCTCGGAGGAGAGCCAGCTCCCTGGCCCACTGGGGACCCCCATCTTCTTCCACGCACCCCCGCCCCCGCAGGAGAGCTGCAGCCCCTTCCCGTCCCCTGAGCCCTCGCACACCATCCCCATTTGCTGCCAACAAGAGCCGAACAAGGCCTTCCCTTTTCCTGCAGATGAGCTGGGGGCTAAGGGCGCCTTCCCAGGCCTCGGGGAGGCCCCGTTCCCCAGCACAGGCCCTGAGTTGGGCAGCGGGGGGCTGGAGGGCTTCCCCCAGGAGCCACCCCCCTACTCTGCACACCACTTCCCCCTGAGCAGCGCCAGCCTGGACCAGCTGGACGTGCTGCTCACCTGCAGGCAGTGTGACCGCAACTACAGCAGCCTGGCCACTTTCCTGCAGCACAGGCAGTTCTGTGGCCTGCTCCTGGCTGGGGCCAGGGATGGTGCTCAGCAGCCCCCGGGGCTCCCCGTGCCCCCAGCTACCCACCCCGTGCCGGCCACCCCCACAGCACCAGCCAGCGCGGACCCGAGCCTGCTCAGCCTCGCCAAGGGGACCCCCTTCCTGCTGGGTGGGGATGTCCCCACTGAGGGCAGAGACGACCCCCTGAGGGCAAGTCTCCTGCCCAGCCTGGCCGCCACCCCCTTCCCACTGCCTGCCTCTGACCTGGACCTGGAGGACGATGCCAAGCTGGACAGCCTCATCACGGAGGCGCTCAACGGCCTGGGGTACCAGTCAGACAGCCCTGAGATCGACAGCAGCTTCATCGACGTCTTCACCGACGAGGAGCCTTCTGGCCCCAGAGGTCCCAGCACCGGGCAGCCCTCCAAAACCAGGGCGGGGGCAGCACCAGAGAACAAAGCCCACCCCCCACTCCCACCCATGGCAGCCCCACCAAGGCCCCAGGCCCCCCGCCCTGGGGATGGCCACGACCCCACCCACAGCAGGCCCAAAACCCGCTCCCTGGGTCCAGCATCTGTGGGGCCAGATGGGGCCGGCCTGGCCATCCAGCAGAGGAGAGGGAAGCGGTTTAAGGTGTTGCAGAAAGAGCTGGGCGCAGCCAATGGCGTCAAGAGGCCGGGCAGGGGTGCCAGAGCTGCCCGCCTAAGGCCCAGGAGGAAAGCAGGCAGGGCTGAGGCGCCCCCGTCCTGCCCCCAGGACCTCGGAACCCAGGTGCCCAAGAGCCCAGCAGATCCCCACGGAAGAGCACTCCCAGTGGAGACCAGGAGTGCCAAGCGCCTCCGGCTGTGCCCCAGGAAGGACTCCCGGAGGCGGCGGGCTCGGGGCACCTGGAGCAAGGAGCTTATCCACAAGATCGTACAGCAGAAGAACAAGCGCCTCCAGGACCAGGGACCCAGCGCTGCAGACGCCCGGCGCCAGGACTGTGCCTCCGAGTCTGAGGACGAGGGTGGCGCGCGGCCCCGGGGCTCCCGCTGCAGAGGCCAGCCTCGCCTCGGCTGCCGGAGGCCGCGCAGCACCAAGGGCAGGGAAGCGGCTCTGACCCCGGGGCCCAGGGAGAGGAGACCCGAGCGCCTCCTGCCGGTTCCCACCAGCGCCAGGACCCCAGATAACCATCCAGTATTGGACTTCCTCCCAGAGACCAGGAACCCTGAAACTGCTGAGGAGCCCCCGCCTGGCACCACAGAACTACTCAGAGAGGATTCCAGCCCTTCTCCAGCCACCCGTGTGGGAGGAAGCCCCTGCCCTCCCAGCCCGGAGCAGCTGCAGCCCGGAAGAGAGGGCGCCGTGCCGCCTCACAGGGGCTCACCAGCACCGTGTGCAGGCAGTCACCTGGGAGCCCCCCAGTACATGGAGCCCCCCACCTCCCAGAACAAAGAGGAGATCCCTGCACACCCACCGGGAAAGCTGCCAGTGCCCGTCGCTGACGCTGCTGATGCTGCCAGCCCCAAACCCAACGTCCTGTTTCTGAAGCCTCCTGATCTTGGTTGTGACCCTGCTCTTCTTAATGGACACTCCACGGGGGTTTCAGCTGCCAAGAGGGGATCCCAACCCTACAGACACTCCCCCAGTGAAGTGTTTCTTGTACCCAAAGACCTGGTTGGCTGTCTACACAAAGACCCGTGCTCTAAGCCCTTCGTTCCCGACACTCTGCCAGCCAGCAGTGCACACCTTTGCCAGGACGGTGTGGATGCCAGTTCTCCGGAGCCAAAACTGCCCAGGAACCTGCCCTGCACAATCGACTCAGACCCAGGAAGAGCCGAATCGCCACTGTCCTTAGAGACCACACCCCTCTTCTCGGGGCTGCCCATGGACAGGTTCAACCCACCCATCTACAACAGCCCATCTGGAGGCGGGGACACACATTCATCGTGTGTGCATGCTGACCCTCCCCCAAGGAAGCCTGGGTCGGACCCACTATTCCCTTTGTTTCTGCCTGAGAAGGGCTGGTCCCTCCTGGAGGAAGTGTCCTCAATACTTCCCTGCCATATGGGCCATTTTCCTGACCCCTCAGGGGAAAAGGCATTCACTGAGACGTGCCCCGGTGGAGGCACTGCGACCTCCAGCACCCCCTCTTTGCCTGGCAAGGTCAGTGAAGGTAGCATCCCTTTCATGAGCAACCTGTCTGAGGATGAATTAGAGATCAAAAGACTGGTCACCGAATTAGAAAGTCAGCTGCGAAGTAAAGGTGCAAACGAGGCCTCGGGGTCGCTGTGCAGAGCTGGGCACACAGACAGGACGCACTTGGGCACAGCCGTCCCACCGCATGTCCCCCAGGCTGCCTCGCCCCAGAAGGATGCGTCCGCCACAGCCAGCCTCACCAGTCTCAGGGAATTAAGTCTGCATCTGAAAGAGGCGGACAAAGCCATGGTCACCGCAGACAGGACCCCGGGGCACCCCCGGGAGGACTGGTCCTCATCCCACCAAGGGGAAGGGGAAGCAGCCCTTCTCCCGCGTGCCTACACAGACATGGTTCCTGGGGCCCCCTTTGACCCCACTGGGGCGAGCTTCAGTTTCCAGCCAGTGCAGAAAGCCAGAGTCTCTGGAATGGAGCCCCCCGAGGCAGAAGGAGACTGTGGGGTCTGCCCGGAAGCCTGCGTGCCCGGCCCCAGGGAGCCACTCGAGCCCCCGTGGGACATAGGGAGTTTAGCAAAGTGCAGCCCAAACCATGAGCCTGTACTTCCTAAAAATAACGTGGCTGCCAGAATACATCCCCGCACAGCCCGCATGCGGCAGCCTCCCTGTCCTCGGGGCGGAGGGCTTTCCCCAGGATCCTCCAAGGAGCCCGGGCCCTGCCAAGATCCCCCTGAGCTGGAAGTGCTAGGCAGTGCTGCTGCCCACTTGGCACCTGACCTGGCATTCCGGGGTGCCACCCCACCCTCTGGTGTCAGTCACAGCGACACCTCCAAGGGACACCCTGTGAGCAGAGCAGGCGGGCCAGAGAGAGCAGGATTCCTCCACCCTGTGGCGGGGGGCGCTGACCCTGAGGGCAGTGAGGGTTTTGCACCCATAGAGGCCTCCTCAAGTCCTGCCTGCACGCCCCTCGCCAGTCCTGGCAGGAGGCCCCCAGACCCAGGTGCGAGCCCCCTACAGCAGCTCCAGCTCCTGGTGGCCAGAGCAGCTGAGAGGGAAGAAGATACCCGGGACTTACAGGGGCCCCCAGGTGACACCCAGAGCCCTCGGCACAGCAAACCCTCAGACTTGGAAGGGAATGGTGTGAGAGGTGGGAACAGAGCCTGGGGCTGCCTGGGGGCTGTGCAGATGGCAGCTGTCCCTGCCGAGACCATACGGCAGCTGGGTCCAGAGGCAGATGGACACCCTGGCTCACTGGGCCAGACAGAGAAGCCTGATAATAGGGAGGGTCCAGGGGTGCCAGGGGGCCTCACCGCAGTCCATGCCAAGCCTGGAACTGCCCTGGCCAGGCTGGCCAGCGGGGAGGACCAGCCGCCGGAACTGCTCCAGGGAGGCAGGGTGGTCTCCAGCCCTCAGGAAGGAGCATGCACCCCAAGCCCTATCTCCTCTGAAGTGGAATCTTTGGTCCCGGCTTGGGCAGCAGCTCGAGCCCAGAATGGGCCTAAGGACTGGACCCCAGAGGCAGTGACCAACCCAGGCCTTGAGAAGCATCTGCGGCTCACTGGGGAGAGCCCAGAACCTCCTTTCGGGGAGCTGGCTGGCCGAGCCCCTTCTCCCACTTCTGCAGCCAGCCCAGTTCCCCACAGCCTCCAGCACCTACCGGGGGAAGATAATCCCACAGCCCCTTCAGGTGAGCTGACAGCGCCGCTCCCAGCACCGCCACGCTGTAGGGACCCAACCAGCCTACAGCCTCTGCCAGCCCATTCTCCTGCCCAGACACCTCCAAAAAAGAACAATGGCACCCCAGCCCCCACAGATGGTGAGGTTGGGAGACATCCAGCAGCACCCCCATCTTTGAGGACAAGCGCCTGTGGCCTTGAGGACAGCCTGGCCCGCCGCCCCCTCCTGAGGGACCACTGCCCCCTGGAAGACCCTCCCAAGGGACAGCTCAGCTTCCCCAGTGTCCTCACTGCCACCCACAGCAGGGACCACCCTGAAGGCCACCTGCAAAGAGCCCTGGAGGATGCCAGAAAAGAGAGGCCAAGGGTATCTCCTGCCCATGACACCCTTCCACCCACAGGGAGGGCCGTCTCTGCAAAAGTGACCATCAAGGCCGCTGCCCTGCCCTGCACCCCCGGCACAGAGGGCATGGGGGCAGTCAGAGGGCCCAAGGCAGGGGGTCCAGGCCCCCACTACCAGGAAGCCCTACCCAACACCTGCCCCAAGAGGACGTCCGAGCACCCATCCTCAGAACCCCCAGGCAACAGGGCAGACCAGGGTGTCAGCACTGTGCCCGCTGACCTGTCCACACTGCAGGGGGCTGCAGGGCCAGATCCCCATGTCTGCCAGCAAAGTGAGGCAGGGACCTGCTTCCCAGGTCAGGAAGACCTGGGGACACCTGGAGCCAGGCACCCCAGCTTCACAGAGGTGTCCGAAGCTGGCATCAGGGCCCCAGTGGCCACCTGCCCCACCTCGGAGCTCCGACCGGACAGAGCCATGTCTCTGAGCGGTGCGACCAGTGGCTCCAGACCCAGCTTTCCACAAGGCCTTGGCAATGCTCTCCACCACACAACCCAGAGGGCCCCCCTCAGTCCCCAGGACCCCAGACAGGAGCCTCATGGCTTTAAAAAGAAGCCTATGGCCACAGAAAATGGCCACTGGAAGGACCAAGCCACTAGCAGGCAGCCCGTGACCTGTGAGGTGTGCTCGGCTTCCTTCCACTCAGGGCCAGGCCTGAGCCACCACAGAGCCGGGCAGCACGGGCTGCACAAGGCTGCTGCCTCCCAGCCCAGCCCACTGGCCCCTCCCATTCCCCAGGCCCAGGAGCCCCAAGCCCAGGTGTGCCGGCTCCCCAGGAAGAAAAGCCGCAGGGCGCCTCGGAAGGAGAAACCCAGGTCTGTGATAATCGGCCCCCACCACGCTATGGGGCTGCCTCCCGTCCTCAGCTCCCCAGCTCCTGAGGACACCCCAGGTTCTGAGACATGCACGGGGCTTACACAGGGTTTTGGCATCCTGCAAACACCAGGATATCCCCCCAGCCAGGAACCACAGCCTCTGGGCCTGGCAGAACCAGGGGTGGACATGAGGCCTGCAGAGTCCAGGAAACAGGGCCTGCTAGAGAGGGGCAAGCCCCAACCCCAACAGGCAGAGAGAGGCAGCCAGAGGCGGGGCAGAGCCCGCTGGGACTCCCCCAGGGAGTCAGAGGGGACATCAAATGACAGAGACAGAGAGAGAAAGCAGAGTGCCAGAGGGCTCTGGGACGAGAGCGAGCCTTGCGATGTGATTTCAGATAGAAGTGGCTGGAATCCGTCGACTGCAATTGCCAATTACCCGGCCCCGATGAGCCGCTGCCCCTCACCAGAGGCAGAGCAGGAGACAGATGTCCCACAGCTGCCTGGAGTGGCCCCACCGGGGCCGGAGAGGACAGAGGGCACAGCAGGCGTGGTCCCAGAGGCAATGCTGGTACCAACGTCACCCAGGGATTGGATGGCCTGTCCAGGGAGGAATGGGGGGCCACGCCCTGGGGAAGGGCCAGAAGTGCAGAAGCCTGCCTTGGCCAGGGGGTGCTGGGGGCCCACAGAGACCTTGACAGCGGGCGCCTGCAAAGAGGCATCGCAGGCAGCCCAGGCTAAGCCTGAAGAGGACAGCAGAGTGGCTGAGAGTGGGTCAAGGCAGGGTATTTGGGAGGAACCCCAGGCCCCCTCAGGCCCCCCAGGCCCTCCAGAGACTTGTGCTTCAGAAGCAGACGGTGCTGTCAACAGCTTCCCCCAGGAACCCCCGCGAACCCCAGAAGCCCAGGCCAGGATCCAGGAGCAGGAGGACGCCACCCCCAGAGTCTCCAGCCTGGATCTCGGAGACCCTCTGAGCTTGCTTGACGACGAGGCCTCTTTCTCCCGGCTCTTCCCGCTGAGCAACCGCTTTACCCGGGTCAAGAACCCCCGTGTCTACGGGAAGCGCTGTAAAAAGCCAAAGAGCCCACCGCAGCAGGAGCCCCTGGAGGAGGCTGGGGGCAGCACTGTGCTGGCCTCCATCCGCCTGCCCACAGACCTCAGCGACTCGGGCTCGCTCTGCCTGTCCCACGAGGACCCGTGGGGGGACCAGGCCACAGATCTGCCCGAGTCCTTCCTGCTGGAGGGCTTTCTCAGCAGCAAGGTGCCTGGCATTGACCTCTGGGCCCCTGGCCCCAGCCTTTGGGCACTAGAGCCTGACCCGGGGTTAGACTGTGCCAAGGAGGTGCCCTCCCGAGCCTCAGACCCCCAGTCGGAGAACCTCCCGGAGCTGCACATGGTCCCGGCAGCTTGGCGAGGCCTGGAGCTGCAGGCCCCCACCGCCGACAGCAGCTCTTCCCTCGGGGCTGCGAGCCCCGAGCCCCCCGACCTGCAGCGAGAGCACTACGATGAAAGCCCCCCAGGGCGCACCGCGGAGCCCGAGATGCTCAGCACCGAGCCTGACCCTCAAGGTCTGTGCTTGCTGGGACCCTGCGAAGACCCTGCGGGAGGCCCCGGCACGAGCTTCTTCGACCCCGGGGTCACAGGGGGCTCTCAGGGCCCCCAGAGCAGAAGGACAGAGGACAGGGCCAGGGCAGGCCGGGGTACAGGCCGGGCCCGGCACGCCAAGGCTGGAGGGGGGCCCTACAAGTGCAGGGCCTGCTTCCAGCGCTTCCGCGGCCCGGGAGAGCTGGACCTGCACAGGCTGGCCCACAGCCCCTCGCCGCCCCCCACCTGCTACATGTGCGTGGAGCGCAGATTCGGCTCGCGGGAGCTGCTGCGGGAGCACCTGCAGGAGAAGCACGCGCAGAGCAAGACGGGGCGCTGGGCCTGCGGCATGTGCCTGAGGGAGGCCTTGGACGTGTGGGTGCACAACGAGCACCTTCGAGAGCACGCCCTGCGGTTCGCCCGCAGGGGCCAGGCACGGAGGCCCCTGGGGGGCCTGCCTGGGTGCTGGGAGGCGGACGGCAGGGGCACAGACTGCCTGGGCGGCCCCTCGGGGCGGGCGTCCACACCCCACAGGGGCAAGCTCTCGGAGGGCAGGGCCAACGCAGGCGCCACAGACGCGCCGCGGCAGGAGACGGGGGCGGGCAGAGCAGTCCCCAGCCAGAGGGCGAGGCCCAAGGCCCGGGGCTCAGACCGAGATGGCGCCCGGAGCCCCGACGGTGCGCTGGCCCACGGCAGCCCTGCGGCCTGCGCCAGCCCCACGCCGCCGGGCAGCTCTGCCCCTCTCTCCGGCTCTGCCGAGACGCCCCCCGGCCCGGGTCCCGGGCCCCAGATCGACGGCGAGACCCTGCTCCGAGCCGCGCGCGTGCACGGGGACTGCAGGGACCCCTCCCGCGACTGCCACCACTGCGGGAAGCGGTTCCCCAAGCCCTTCAAGCTGCAGCGCCACCTGGCGGTGCACAGCCCTCAGCGCGTCTACCTGTGCCCCCAGTGCCCGCGGGTGTACCCTGAGCACCAGGAGCTGCGCGCGCACCTGGCGGGGGCGCACGGGAGGCGCGAGGAGCGGGAGCTGCAGCACACGCCGCTGTACGCCTGCGAGCTCTGCGCCGACGTCACGCTCACCAGCCGGCGGTCCTTCGCCTGCAGCTCCTGCAACTACACGTTCGCCAAGAAGGCACAGTTCGACCGGCACATGGACAAGCACCTGAGGAGGGGTCAGCAGCCCTTCTCGTTCCGCGGCGTGCGGAGGCCCGGCACCCCCGGGCAGAAGGCGCCGGCCCGAGAGGGCACGATGCCCAGCAAGCGGCGCAGGGTGGCCGTGCCCAGCAGTGCCACAGAGCCCAGCATGAACAGGCCCCCGGCCCCAGGCAGCGAGGGATCCCCCTCATCCCAGCTGCAGCCCTGCCTGGAGGCAGCTCCCAGGACCCCAGAGAGGCCGGTAGGTCCTGTGGGCCACCCAGTCTCAGGGGGCAGTCCGCCCTCTGACCTCCCGGACCTCCTGCCCCCGTCTCTGTCTCCTTTCCCCGCAGCCTTGGCTGATGACAAAGATGTCCAGAAGCCGGACAGGAACACCCTGGAGGGCTCCGAGGGTGAGGCTTCCCCGGGCAGACCTGGGCCTCTTCTCCAACAGATTCTCCCACTCGGGGGGTCCCTGCCCCGGCCAGGGGCCAGACACCAGGATGAAGAGGAAAGAAGGGCTGCTGGCCCATTCTCAGGGAAACGCAGGACCCCAAGTGCCCGTGGCCATACCCCAGAAGCCCCCTCCCCGCTGCGGAAGGAGAAGCAGGTACCCACGTGCCACATGGCACCTGAGGCGGGCAAGGGGGGCCCCTCCCACAAGGGCAGTGCTACCAAGCCAGGGGGGTGCCAGAGTTCATCAAAGGACAGGTCAGCCTTGTCCACCCCCAGCAAAGCACCCAAGTTCCCTGTGCAACCAAAGAAGGCTGTGGCCAGCCCCACTGCTAGAGAGCTAGCCCACGGCATCGAGGACAGGCCAAAGCCCACCACCCCCAGAGCCAAGCCGGGCCCCAGCTCCCATGGCGGTGGAGGCCCCCTGCACAGCACCAAGACAGCAGGTGGCAGCCACCCTGGGCCAGCCGGCGGGCAGCTGCAAAGCGAGACAGCCACCACCCCAGCCAAGCCCACCTGCCCAGGCCGGGGCTCTGCCCCAGCCAGGGGCCACCCCAAGGGGCCAAGGAATGCCGGTGGCCAGGGGCCCCGAGGAAGCCTAGGCCCCCAGGATGATGGAGAGGTCAGTCAGAAGAAGAAAAAGGNGGGCCATTTTCCTGACCCCTCAGGGGAAAAGGCATTCACTGAGACGTGCCCCGGTGGAGGCACTGCGACCTCCAGCACCCCCTCTTTGCCTGGCAAGGTCAGTGAAGGTAGCATCCCTTTCATGAGCAACCTGTCTGAGGATGAATTAGAGATCAAAAGACTGGTCACCGAATTAGAAAGTCAGCTGCGAAGTAAAGGTGCAAACGAGGCCTCGGGGTCGCTGTGCAGAGCTGGGCACACAGACAGGACGCACTTGGGCACAGCCGTCCCACCGCATGTCCCCCAGGCTGCCTCGCCCCAGAAGGATGCGTCCGCCACAGCCAGCCTCACCAGTCTCAGGGAATTAAGTCTGCATCTGAAAGAGGCGGACAAAGCCATGGTCACCGCAGACAGGACCCCGGGGCACCCCCGGGAGGACTGGTCCTCATCCCACCAAGGGGAAGGGGAAGCAGCCCTTCTCCCGCGTGCCTACACAGACATGGTTCCTGGGGCCCCCTTTGACCCCACTGGGGCGAGCTTCAGTTTCCAGCCAGTGCAGAAAGCCAGAGTCTCTGGAATGGAGCCCCCCGAGGCAGAAGGAGACTGTGGGGTCTGCCCGGAAGCCTGCGTGCCCGGCCCCAGGGAGCCACTCGAGCCCCCGTGGGACATAGGGAGTTTAGCAAAGTGCAGCCCAAACCATGAGCCTGTACTTCCTAAAAATAACGTGGCTGCCAGAATACATCCCCGCACAGCCCGCATGCGGCAGCCTCCCTGTCCTCGGGGCGGAGGGCTTTCCCCAGGATCCTCCAAGGAGCCCGGGCCCTGCCAAGATCCCCCTGAGCTGGAAGTGCTAGGCAGTGCTGCTGCCCACTTGGCACCTGACCTGGCATTCCGGGGTGCCACCCCACCCTCTGGTGTCAGTCACAGCGACACCTCCAAGGGACACCCTGTGAGCAGAGCAGGCGGGCCAGAGAGAGCAGGATTCCTCCACCCTGTGGCGGGGGGCGCTGACCCTGAGGGCAGTGAGGGTTTTGCACCCATAGAGGCCTCCTCAAGTCCTGCCTGCACGCCCCTCGCCAGTCCTGGCAGGAGGCCCCCAGACCCAGGTGCGAGCCCCCTACAGCAGCTCCAGCTCCTGGTGGCCAGAGCAGCTGAGAGGGAAGAAGATACCCGGGACTTACAGGGGCCCCCAGGTGACACCCAGAGCCCTCGGCACAGCAAACCCTCAGACTTGGAAGGGAATGGTGTGAGAGGTGGGAACAGAGCCTGGGGCTGCCTGGGGGCTGTGCAGATGGCAGCTGTCCCTGCCGAGACCATACGGCAGCTGGGTCCAGAGGCAGATGGACACCCTGGCTCACTGGGCCAGACAGAGAAGCCTGATAATAGGGAGGGTCCAGGGGTGCCAGGGGGCCTCACCGCAGTCCATGCCAAGCCTGGAACTGCCCTGGCCAGGCTGGCCAGCGGGGAGGACCAGCCGCCGGAACTGCTCCAGGGAGGCAGGGTGGTCTCCAGCCCTCAGGAAGGAGCATGCACCCCAAGCCCTATCTCCTCTGAAGTGGAATCTTTGGTCCCGGCTTGGGCAGCAGCTCGAGCCCAGAATGGGCCTAAGGACTGGACCCCAGAGGCAGTGACCAACCCAGGCCTTGAGAAGCATCTGCGGCTCACTGGGGAGAGCCCAGAACCTCCTTTCGGGGAGCTGGCTGGCCGAGCCCCTTCTCCCACTTCTGCAGCCAGCCCAGTTCCCCACAGCCTCCAGCACCTACCGGGGGAAGATAATCCCACAGCCCCTTCAGGTGAGCTGACAGCGCCGCTCCCAGCACCGCCACGCTGTAGGGACCCAACCAGCCTACAGCCTCTGCCAGCCCATTCTCCTGCCCAGACACCTCCAAAAAAGAACAATGGCACCCCAGCCCCCACAGATGGTGAGGTTGGGAGACATCCAGCAGCACCCCCATCTTTGAGGACAAGCGCCTGTGGCCTTGAGGACAGCCTGGCCCGCCGCCCCCTCCTGAGGGACCACTGCCCCCTGGAAGACCCTCCCAAGGGACAGCTCAGCTTCCCCAGTGTCCTCACTGCCACCCACAGCAGGGACCACCCTGAAGGCCACCTGCAAAGAGCCCTGGAGGATGCCAGAAAAGAGAGGCCAAGGGTATCTCCTGCCCATGACACCCTTCCACCCACAGGGAGGGCCGTCTCTGCAAAAGTGACCATCAAGGCCGCTGCCCTGCCCTGCACCCCCGGCACAGAGGGCATGGGGGCAGTCAGAGGGCCCAAGGCAGGGGGTCCAGGCCCCCACTACCAGGAAGCCCTACCCAACACCTGCCCCAAGAGGACGTCCGAGCACCCATCCTCAGAACCCCCAGGCAACAGGGCAGACCAGGGTGTCAGCACTGTGCCCGCTGACCTGTCCACACTGCAGGGGGCTGCAGGGCCAGATCCCCATGTCTGCCAGCAAAGTGAGGCAGGGACCTGCTTCCCAGGTCAGGAAGACCTGGGGACACCTGGAGCCAGGCACCCCAGCTTCACAGAGGTGTCCGAAGCTGGCATCAGGGCCCCAGTGGCCACCTGCCCCACCTCGGAGCTCCGACCGGACAGAGCCATGTCTCTGAGCGGTGCGACCAGTGGCTCCAGACCCAGCTTTCCACAAGGCCTTGGCAATGCTCTCCACCACACAACCCAGAGGGCCCCCCTCAGTCCCCAGGACCCCAGACAGGAGCCTCATGGCTTTAAAAAGAAGCCTATGGCCACAGAAAATGGCCACTGGAAGGACCAAGCCACTAGCAGGCAGCCCGTGACCTGTGAGGTGTGCTCGGCTTCCTTCCACTCAGGGCCAGGCCTGAGCCACCACAGAGCCGGGCAGCACGGGCTGCACAAGGCTGCTGCCTCCCAGCCCAGCCCACTGGCCCCTCCCATTCCCCAGGCCCAGGAGCCCCAAGCCCAGGTGTGCCGGCTCCCCAGGAAGAAAAGCCGCAGGGCGCCTCGGAAGGAGAAACCCAGGTCTGTGATAATCGGCCCCCACCACGCTATGGGGCTGCCTCCCGTCCTCAGCTCCCCAGCTCCTGAGGACACCCCAGGTTCTGAGACATGCACGGGGCTTACACAGGGTTTTGGCATCCTGCAAACACCAGGATATCCCCCCAGCCAGGAACCACAGCCTCTGGGCCTGGCAGAACCAGGGGTGGACATGAGGCCTGCAGAGTCCAGGAAACAGGGCCTGCTAGAGAGGGGCAAGCCCCAACCCCAACAGGCAGAGAGAGGCAGCCAGAGGCGGGGCAGAGCCCGCTGGGACTCCCCCAGGGAGTCAGAGGGGACATCAAATGACAGAGACAGAGAGAGAAAGCAGAGTGCCAGAGGGCTCTGGGACGAGAGCGAGCCTTGCGATGTGATTTCAGATAGAAGTGGCTGGAATCCGTCGACTGCAATTGCCAATTACCCGGCCCCGATGAGCCGCTGCCCCTCACCAGAGGCAGAGCAGGAGACAGATGTCCCACAGCTGCCTGGAGTGGCCCCACCGGGGCCGGAGAGGACAGAGGGCACAGCAGGCGTGGTCCCAGAGGCAATGCTGGTACCAACGTCACCCAGGGATTGGATGGCCTGTCCAGGGAGGAATGGGGGGCCACGCCCTGGGGAAGGGCCAGAAGTGCAGAAGCCTGCCTTGGCCAGGGGGTGCTGGGGGCCCACAGAGACCTTGACAGCGGGCGCCTGCAAAGAGGCATCGCAGGCAGCCCAGGCTAAGCCTGAAGAGGACAGCAGAGTGGCTGAGAGTGGGTCAAGGCAGGGTATTTGGGAGGAACCCCAGGCCCCCTCAGGCCCCCCAGGCCCTCCAGAGACTTGTGCTTCAGAAGCAGACGGTGCTGTCAACAGCTTCCCCCAGGAACCCCCGCGAACCCCAGAAGCCCAGGCCAGGATCCAGGAGCAGGAGGACGCCACCCCCAGAGTCTCCAGCCTGGATCTCGGAGACCCTCTGAGCTTGCTTGACGACGAGGCCTCTTTCTCCCGGCTCTTCCCGCTGAGCAACCGCTTTACCCGGGTCAAGAACCCCCGTGTCTACGGGAAGCGCTGTAAAAAGCCAAAGAGCCCACCGCAGCAGGAGCCCCTGGAGGAGGCTGGGGGCAGCACTGTGCTGGCCTCCATCCGCCTGCCCACAGACCTCAGCGACTCGGGCTCGCTCTGCCTGTCCCACGAGGACCCGTGGGGGGACCAGGCCACAGATCTGCCCGAGTCCTTCCTGCTGGAGGGCTTTCTCAGCAGCAAGGTGCCTGGCATTGACCTCTGGGCCCCTGGCCCCAGCCTTTGGGCACTAGAGCCTGACCCGGGGTTAGACTGTGCCAAGGAGGTGCCCTCCCGAGCCTCAGACCCCCAGTCGGAGAACCTCCCGGAGCTGCACATGGTCCCGGCAGCTTGGCGAGGCCTGGAGCTGCAGGCCCCCACCGCCGACAGCAGCTCTTCCCTCGGGGCTGCGAGCCCCGAGCCCCCCGACCTGCAGCGAGAGCACTACGATGAAAGCCCCCCAGGGCGCACCGCGGAGCCCGAGATGCTCAGCACCGAGCCTGACCCTCAAGGTCTGTGCTTGCTGGGACCCTGCGAAGACCCTGCGGGAGGCCCCGGCACGAGCTTCTTCGACCCCGGGGTCACAGGGGGCTCTCAGGGCCCCCAGAGCAGAAGGACAGAGGACAGGGCCAGGGCAGGCCGGGGTACAGGCCGGGCCCGGCACGCCAAGGCTGGAGGGGGGCCCTACAAGTGCAGGGCCTGCTTCCAGCGCTTCCGCGGCCCGGGAGAGCTGGACCTGCACAGGCTGGCCCACAGCCCCTCGCCGCCCCCCACCTGCTACATGTGCGTGGAGCGCAGATTCGGCTCGCGGGAGCTGCTGCGGGAGCACCTGCAGGAGAAGCACGCGCAGAGCAAGACGGGGCGCTGGGCCTGCGGCATGTGCCTGAGGGAGGCCTTGGACGTGTGGGTGCACAACGAGCACCTTCGAGAGCACGCCCTGCGGTTCGCCCGCAGGGGCCAGGCACGGAGGCCCCTGGGGGGCCTGCCTGGGTGCTGGGAGGCGGACGGCAGGGGCACAGACTGCCTGGGCGGCCCCTCGGGGCGGGCGTCCACACCCCACAGGGGCAAGCTCTCGGAGGGCAGGGCCAACGCAGGCGCCACAGACGCGCCGCGGCAGGAGACGGGGGCGGGCAGAGCAGTCCCCAGCCAGAGGGCGAGGCCCAAGGCCCGGGGCTCAGACCGAGATGGCGCCCGGAGCCCCGACGGTGCGCTGGCCCACGGCAGCCCTGCGGCCTGCGCCAGCCCCACGCCGCCGGGCAGCTCTGCCCCTCTCTCCGGCTCTGCCGAGACGCCCCCCGGCCCGGGTCCCGGGCCCCAGATCGACGGCGAGACCCTGCTCCGAGCCGCGCGCGTGCACGGGGACTGCAGGGACCCCTCCCGCGACTGCCACCACTGCGGGAAGCGGTTCCCCAAGCCCTTCAAGCTGCAGCGCCACCTGGCGGTGCACAGCCCTCAGCGCGTCTACCTGTGCCCCCAGTGCCCGCGGGTGTACCCTGAGCACCAGGAGCTGCGCGCGCACCTGGCGGGGGCGCACGGGAGGCGCGAGGAGCGGGAGCTGCAGCACACGCCGCTGTACGCCTGCGAGCTCTGCGCCGACGTCACGCTCACCAGCCGGCGGTCCTTCGCCTGCAGCTCCTGCAACTACACGTTCGCCAAGAAGGCACAGTTCGACCGGCACATGGACAAGCACCTGAGGAGGGGTCAGCAGCCCTTCTCGTTCCGCGGCGTGCGGAGGCCCGGCACCCCCGGGCAGAAGGCGCCGGCCCGAGAGGGCACGATGCCCAGCAAGCGGCGCAGGGTGGCCGTGCCCAGCAGTGCCACAGAGCCCAGCATGAACAGGCCCCCGGCCCCAGGCAGCGAGGGATCCCCCTCATCCCAGCTGCAGCCCTGCCTGGAGGCAGCTCCCAGGACCCCAGAGAGGCCGGTAGGTCCTGTGGGCCACCCAGTCTCAGGGGGCAGTCCGCCCTCTGACCTCCCGGACCTCCTGCCCCCGTCTCTGTCTCCTTTCCCCGCAGCCTTGGCTGATGACAAAGATGTCCAGAAGCCGGACAGGAACACCCTGGAGGGCTCCGAGGGTGAGGCTTCCCCGGGCAGACCTGGGCCTCTTCTCCAACAGATTCTCCCACTCGGGGGGTCCCTGCCCCGGCCAGGGGCCAGACACCAGGATGAAGAGGAAAGAAGGGCTGCTGGCCCATTCTCAGGGAAACGCAGGACCCCAAGTGCCCGTGGCCATACCCCAGAAGCCCCCTCCCCGCTGCGGAAGGAGAAGCAGGTACCCACGTGCCACATGGCACCTGAGGCGGGCAAGGGGGGCCCCTCCCACAAGGGCAGTGCTACCAAGCCAGGGGGGTGCCAGAGTTCATCAAAGGACAGGTCAGCCTTGTCCACCCCCAGCAAAGCACCCAAGTTCCCTGTGCAACCAAAGAAGGCTGTGGCCAGCCCCACTGCTAGAGAGCTAGCCCACGGCATCGAGGACAGGCCAAAGCCCACCACCCCCAGAGCCAAGCCAGGCCCCAGCTCCCATGGCGGTGGAGGCCCCCTGCACAGCACCAAGACAGCAGGTGGCAGCCACCCTGGGCCAGCCGGCGGGCAGCTGCAAAGCGAGACAGCCACCACCCCAGCCAAGCCCACCTGCCCAGGCCGGGGCTCTGCCCCAGCCAGGGGCCACCCCAAGGGGCCAAGGAATGCCGGTGGCCAGGGGCCCCGAGGAAGCCTAGGCCCCCAGGATGATGGAGAGGTCAGTCAGAAGAAGAAAAAGGGCCGGGCCCCAGGGCCAACCAGGAGCGAAAGTGTGAGGAGCTTGGGGAGAGTCCACCTGGTCCCTGAGAAGCCCCCCCGGCTCCCCCGAAAGCAGGCGACTCCCAGCCGCGTGCCCCCAGCCAGGCCCAGGCCCAGTAGACAGACCAGCCCATTGCCACCCCAGCCCTCGGAGCAGCAGAGGGCGGAGCCCAGCCACACCCACGGGGACTTCAAACACAGCAGGGAGGGGCTGGGCAAAGCCGTACCCCAGGCAAGACCCCCCCACAGACCCCCCAAGAGGGGCAGAGCTGTCCACGGTGCTGAGCCTGCCAACCCACGCACCTGCCGCACTGCCGCGTCCCAGAGTGACCTCCTCAGCCAGCTCTTCGGGCAGAGACTGACCAGCTTCAAGATTCCTTTAAAGAAAGATCCCCCTGAGTAATTTATAGGAGCAGGCAAGTATCTGGGAGCAGGGCTGGAGGATGACCCAGCAAACGGGAGCTCCTGTCCACACTGGCAGGGCTCAGCCCTCCAGGAGTATGTGCCTCGTGGCCACCTGACTTATGCCAATGCTCAGACTTTGGTGCTGGAGCTGAGCCTAGTGCCCTGAGCAGGGCCTGGGGGGGACACCATCCCCTTCTAGCTGGGAGGGGAGGGGGAGGGGAAAGCCAACTGCAGCCCTTTTGAGGGCAGGTGGGTGTTTCGTCTGTACTGAGAACTTAGGAGAGAACAGCTCAGCACCACCGCCGCCCATGTGCCCCATTGGCACAGAGCCCCTCATCTGAAGGTTTGCACAGGGTCACCCTCCATGTCATTGGCAGGAAAGTAAGGTGAGGCAGCTGCTGGACGGATGGCAGTGGGCTCCCTCTCTGTGTTGTCGCTGCTGTTGCTGGAACCCCAAAATGACCTTAGACGCCAAATCAGGGGCAGCTGTTTGGGAGATGCCGACCCCCCTTCTCTGACCACAGGGCCACTTTCCATGCCACTGACAGAAACACCAGTCTGCAGTGCGCCTTGACCCCTGGGGACCCGGTCTCCCCCGCACACACACCTCTGCCGTTAACCTTTCTGGAGCCTTGCTCCTACACGGAGCCCTCAGCTGCAAGTATCCGCAATTACACTCTGAAGTTTCCGGTGCTATTTTCATGTTGCAATGTGAATACAGGCTGCCCTGGTTTGATTTACCTAGGAGACTGGGCGGGCAGGTGGGGTCGGGAGGCCCATGGGCACCAGCAGCCAGCCCAGGGCTCTCGCCGGGTCCCCGGCCACCGTGGAGCAGCCCCATGGCACACTCGGGTGTGGCACTGCCGCCTGGTCAGGGAGGCCTCTCGTCCTGATGGCCCAGGGATCTGGGCTTTTCCATGTTTTCGAAGGGGAAGGAGGGTGGGAGGTCTCCTTTGGTTACTCTGAGGCTCGTGGTTGTTTCGTTCTGTTTCTTGCTTTTTTACCTTGAGTGCAATGTGTACGTCAAAGGTTTTTATTTTGATTTTTCAGAAGAGACTAAATAGGGCCCAAATCGCCATTCTGGAAGGTGTTGGTGCCACTCAGATTGCCTCTTTAGTGCTGATGAATAAAACATGGGGAACTCTGACATTGTACAAACCACAGTGTGCTCATCTGGCAATAACATCCCACTGTTTCCACAGAAAGCCTCAGGTGTGGCCTCTGCCCCCCCGCCAGCCCCACTCTGCCTGCCCCACTGTAGCCCAGGACCTAGCTCATAAAGCATTGGCTTACCTGCCACCTCTGTCCTGTCACTGGGGCTCCCTGGCCCTGAAGAACGGCCCGTAAGCAGCAAAGCGGTCCCACCAGCCCCACCGGGCTCGTGAACATGGGCACAGACAATGCCACGGTGGTTTCCGAGCTTCCCGGCTCTGGGCTAGGAGCTCTTGGGGGCAGGGCAGGAGATTATGTGTGGGTAGATAATTAGCACAGCTCAGTTTAGGGGACCCAGGAAGGCAGCAGAGGCAGCGTGGGGGTTCGACCTAGGGGACATTCAGACCCCTAAGCCTACCACGTCCCAAAGACACCCTCAAAGACCCCAGAGTCCAGGACAAGCACCTGCAGGGCCTGGGAACGAGGGGCACAGCTCAAAGCAGGTGCCCAACAATCTGCGCTGAGGAGGGGTAGAAGCCTCATCTCCGTGCCCTTTCCACGGGGGGGGGGGCCCACCTGTGAAGCCACAACTGGGCTCCATGACTCCTGCCCAAGCCCACAGGGCCCCTGCCCACCTGCACACTCCCCTACCCGCCCGGCTCACCTTCCTCAGGCCAGACACGCCCTTGCCAGGTCTCAGCCCGCACCCCACCCCGTGCATGCACCCACAACCCTGGGCAGGGTGCCTCGTGTTTACATGCCTACTGTGTGCTGCAAAAAGAGCCAGATGCAGCGCCTGACTTCAAGGGCCTCCAGACAGGTTCTGCCCTGGGTAGGAGGCTTTGGTGTCCTTGCAGGGCAGGGGCAGCTGCGAGAGCTGCGTGAAGGGGCGCAGGGTTGGGGCAGGTCCAGTCAGCCACGTTGAATAAAGGCTATCTGGGCACGGAGACTGTGGGGCCCCGTGGGGCCGGGGGCGCTCACCACACCTGGGCCAGGCCGCCCGAGGCCATCGGCCTCCAGTGACCCGGAACGGGATGTGGGCCCCGCCCCAACCTGAGAACCAGGTGCGCTGACCCGCCTGGCCAGCAGGTGGCAGCATTCGCCCAGCGCGGTGGGCAGGACAGCCCCAGGCCAGGCCCTGGCGACTGGCCACGCCCAAACACGACAGACACGTGGGCGCAGACCAGCTTACTGCACACGCGCGTGTGCGTTCACCCACAGCCTCACACACGCCGACGTGGGGCACGCGGACGGACCACACAAACACCCGCCCCACCCCACCCCGGGGCACACGGCGGCATGGTGGCTGGAAGGGCGTTGGGAGTGAGGAACCCGGCCCTGGAGGGGTCCCAGGCATGCGTCCAAGGGCCCCTCTTGAGCTGTGGGAGTGACCCCACACGGACATTCCGCAGCCGGGGAAACACCGCCCACCGCTCCGACGTCCTCGGCATGGGCCCGTGGGCCACTCACCCTCTGACTGCAGGGCCCCTCGGAGGCCGGCCTGAGGCAGCGGGGCTGGGCAGGGGAGGCACCTTTAGCAACAAGGTCACATAAATGGCTGTATTGTTCAACGCACTCCTCCTAGGTCCCAAACCTGACCCCTACAAGCCCTTGGCCCACCAGCTGGGAGGCAGGGTAGGCGAGAAGACGGTGCCTTGGACCAGGTGAGGAGGGGAAGGTGGAGGGCACAGGTCGGGTGACCACCTGCACTCGGTGGGGTATGGCCGGCGGCCTCCACCCTGCCAGGCCCCATAACCAGGGAGGCTTGCCAGCAGCCCAGAGGCTTCCTCAGAGCAGGACACACACACCCTGGGTGACCAGAGAGCGTCGTTAAAGCTCTCCTGAGCTCAGGCCACCGATGTCCAGAGAATTGGGTCTGCCCAGAAGGTGTGTAGGCAGCGCGCTGCTCACACAGTGGGAATAATCTGGATGGAAAGGACCCCCCCAGAGATGGCCTCAGAGGCACAAACAGCCGCCAGGGTAGGGCTGACCCCTCAGCATACTGGGTGGCCATAAAGTGCCCCCTATGAGGAGACAGGATTCGGGCCCACGGGTCCTGCCCTGGTCACTGCGAATGCACTGTGTGGGCTCTGGAAGTCCAGCGTGAGGCCATGCCCCTCAGCCCCCTTCTCTGCCTGTGTAGTGGGTGGGCAGCCCACAGCCCATTTCCCGGGAAGCCTGCTCCAGGCCTGGGGTCTGCTCTGGGGCCTGTCGTCCCCTTGGGGCTGTCTGTCCTTCCAGCTCTGGGCCTGGGCACCCAAACCGCAGCCACCTTCACATGTGCAATGCCTTCCTCACTGGCCATCTGGGCTGCAGCTGGGGGCCACCGGCCTTCTCCTCAGAGGCCTCGGGCAGAGAGAGGGGGCAGGATGGGCCTTCCCAAGGCCCAGAGGTGGCCAGGCCTGAACAAACTTCTTTGCCTGCACTGCCAAGACACCCAGGCCCGTTTCTGGGGCCCAGGGAGGAGACAGGGTGCCACCTGCCACTGAGTGAGCCCTGGGGGGCAGCAGACCTCAGGCTCACCACCATACCCCTGGCCCGGGTTCTCCCACCCTCGGCAGCTCCCTCCTGGGGGGACCCTCTGCCCCACCAACCACCTGGCTGCGTCTCTCCCCACGTTGGGTCTTTGCTCTCTGTGGCCTCCCTAACCACTGTTGGAGATGCAGCCCCCCCACTCTGCCCTGCTGTATTTATAACCTGATGTCCCCCACAGCCCACTCCTTAATGGTGGTGGTGGTTGGGGCATCCTAGGCTGGTAGTGAGCACTGTGTATGCACAGTGTGTGCGGCTGTACCTCGGTGCCTGGAGTGGGGGCTCAGTGCCTGTTTGTGGGTGGGAAGCGGGGAGGCGAGGTGGTGGGGGGGAGGCAGGAGGCATACGGGGAAGTGCGTGTTTCCTATCTGGTGATGTAACCCCCGTGACCCTGCTCAGAGATTGGGAAATGTCCAGATAACAGATCCTGTCCGTGCCCAGCACTGCCTTGCCCGCGGGGTAAATGGGCCATGCTGGGGCAGCCACATGGAAGGGCAGCTCTCGCTAATACCCAGGGACCATTCCAGAGGGCCCCAGGTGTGCCCGTACGGCTAGTTAGCGATGCTGGTTTCACAGAGGACCCCTGGGGCCACAGAGGGAGGGGCTGGTCTGCATGGTCCCAGGCCCCCTCTCTCTGCTGTCTCAGACGTCTGAGGGATGGGTGGTAGAGGTCAGACGTGGTCGCCAGCTGTGAACAAGACTGCCTCCAAAGCCACAGCTGCCACCAGCCGCTGTGGGGGCCCAGAGGCAGCAGCCCACCCACCTGTCCTGCCCACCCCCCAACCCGCACCGCTGGGTGCTTCTACCCTGCCCCTCCCACAGGCAGCCTCCAGTTCCTGACTTAATTTATTTTGATATCCTCGCTGACATTTGACCCCCTCACGGAGTTCTGTGGTGCTGAAGCTCATTATCTTCCCATTGAAAAAGGAAGTTAATTAAACTCTTCACAGAACCAGTGTTGATGAACGTCAGGTCAGGACTACCCCGGCTGGGCTGCCCTGGGGCTCCAGCGGGGAGGGAGCAGCATGGCCCCTGCAGGGGCCACTGGGTGGTCCTGGGCCCCTTCCCTCCAGCACAAGCACCAAGGGCCATTCCGGACAGAGTATGTGGATTCCCTAGGGAGAATCTGGCTCTGCCACTTACCTGCCGTGTTGGCAAGTGACTTCACTTCTCTGAGCCTCCGTATACTCACCTGGCAAATGGGGATTCTAACAGTACCTTCTTCAGAGAGCCATTATGTGCAGTGTGTTCGCTGATGTTCTTGCTCAGCACCGGGCCGGGCTCCGAGAAGCCCCCTACTTAGGTGGCTGCTCCTGTGAGGTGAAGGAGCCCTGGGCCCTGCAAGCGGGAGCAAGGAAGACAGGCCCACCCTCATCTGGAAACAATCAAGGGCTTCCCTGAGGACGGAGTGGGCCAGGAAGCTGGGGGGTGGGGAGGAGGGTGCAGCCGGCACCAGGGGCAGCTGGTGCAAAGGCCCTGTGGACACAGGACCACCCCCACCGACACACATACAAGAAGGTTCAAAAGAGAAGGAAGTCGTCACAAACGCCTTCAACCTGCAGCAGGGGCAGCTGACTTGACCACAGAGGTAAATGGGCCAAAGTGTGGCAGCCACATGAAGGGACGGGTCTTGCTAACACCCAAGGACGGTCTCCGAGAGGGACCCGGGTATGCTGGGACATGAGAGGGTGTGGCTCATTAGAGATGCTGGTTTCACAGAGGACCCCTGGGGCCAGGAGGAGAGGGGCTTGTCTGCAGGGTCCCAGCAGGGTGGGGATGGCAGTAGTCAGGAGACAAGGGGTGACAGAAGCTGGGAGCAGGGTGGGGGTAGTGGCAGTGTCTCGGGGGCATCGCAGAGCTATAAGGAGGTGAAGCCGTGGACTCTGGGAGGGCAGGGAAGCAGAAAGATGGCTCAGGGTGCAGCCTGGTGTTCAGAGGCCCCCTTCACACTTGCTCTTCCCTCTGCCAGAATGCCCTCTCCATCGCTCCTTCCTGAGCGTTCTCTTCATCCTTCAAGGTCTGGACTCAGCTTCTAGAACATTCTGTGGCTCCCTTGGTCATAGCCCCACAACCAGTGCAGGGCTTGGCTCATGGCAGATGCTGCAGTTGGCCCCCTCCACCACCTACAACAACTGCCTGGCCCTGGGGCAGCCCTCCTGGGGTGGGGCAGCATGGAGTGTGCCCACCGGCTGCCAGCCCACAGGCCAGAGGTCGTGAACCCAGAACATGGAGCCACCTCCCAGCTCTCCCTCTTCCGAGCTGTAGGGCCACTCGGAGCCACAGTGTTGCCACCACAACAAAAGCCCTCTGGGCGCTTGAGAGTGCCTTTCGTGGCCTGCTCTGCCACTTTCTGCTGGGTGACTGACAGTCGTGACCATCAGAGGGGGTCGGGGTGCACAATGACCTCAGAAGAGAATGGAAAATGGCCCAAAGAAAATGCTGATGGTGCCAGTGATGAGACTGACAGTGCCCCTAGAGTGGGCGCCTGGGACGATGCCTTCCTCAGAGCCCTTCCTGGGATTGCCAACCTTAGCACCACCCACCCCAGGAGGCCTCCAGGGAGCCACAGAGGCCCAGGGGGCAGCTGCCAACAGCTCAGCTCCTGTGAGCAAGAAACAAGCAGGCCATGGTTGGGACAGCCCACCTCTGCACAAGGTCCTTCCCAGCTCCCCATCAGGCATTAACAATGTGAACTGAATGCGGCTGTTGTCTCTACCAATGACTTTTGAATATGAATCCTGGCAGTCATGGGCATTCAGGGGCAGGTGGAGATTGGGGGTCACAGTGGGAAGCTTGTGAGGGATGGTGGTGGCTGGGTGCAGCCATCCCATAACTCTGTGCCTCCTCTCCTAGCTGATCAGGGACCTCTGCAAAGCAACACCCGGATACTACCTCCTCCAGGCAGCCTTCCATGACTTCCCAGGCAGAAGCAGTCACTCCTGTACCTGCTCCTTCTCACAGCATGCTTTGTTCCTCTTGCCCCAAGAGGCCTCCTCCGCGGGTGTAGTACATGTGCAGGAGAGGTCCTATGGCCATCAGCCCTGGTCATGAGCAAGCAACAGTTTCCTCAACAGTGTGGTGGGGATCTGCCCCCCACAGGGCAGGTCAAGGAGGCAAAGCACAGAAGGAAAAGTGTTTCAGAAACAGCTCCAGCCTGGCTCAGTGTTACCACGGCGTTTCGTGGGCATGTGACCTGTGCGGGGCTTGGGGCTCTGTACTGGGGAAGGCCCCACACCTGGTGGGATGCCCCGCCTTGGCTGTCCAGGAATTCATTTTTGAGCAAGGGGCCCCATGTTTCCATTTCGCACTGCGTCCTAGAACATGGTGAGCTGGTCCTAGTCAGCAGCCTCTGCCCCCGAGTCACTGGGCGACTTGAATGTGTCCGTCCTCTCACAAGGAATCTCAGTTCTTTAATCTGCACAGGACAAATTGGCCGAAGTGACTCCCATCTTCTCACGCTGCATCTAGGCAGACGTCACTGATCACTCATGACTCTATTTCTCCTGCTGACCCTCAGAATCCTCCTCAACACAGATTTCCAACCTGGGTGCCACTTGCTGCACGAAGTCTCCATCCCAATATAGGTGTCGGCCCATGGTCATCTCCGCCAGGAACCCCCCACCCGCACCCAGGTCCTCATCCTGTAAAAAGGACCCTCCTTTGGGAATGGCAGCAAGGCCCAACGGGAAGCCCAGACACCTGGGGTGCCTTGTCCAGCTGACAGACATCGTGCTAGCCTGGGCTGAGAGAACCAGCCAGCCACGGGCCCCCACTCTCCCCAGAGAGGGGGTACAGCACCAGGCAGCTGTAGGAAGGCTGCACCTACTGGCCCTGGGCAGGGAGCAAGAATGGCTGGAGAGCCATCACCCTGGGCACATCTTCTGGCTTCCCAGCCTTGGTGTTTCTCTCTGTCCTGTGGCGGTCCCAGGGTGGACCTGTCTCCTGCCCTGCCTGCCATTCACCTGCTTAGACAGCAGCAGTGGGGCAGGGGGCAGTGCCCAGGCTCTGGAAGTAATTCTTCTCCTCTCCCATGGGGCGGGAGCCCAGGCAATGGACAACTGTCTTCTGGGCAGAGTGCACAGCTCTGAGCCTCCGCACATGGTAGCTGTGATGGGCGCCCTCAGGTGGGTGGGTGGCCGGCGATCTGGACAGGCATGCGGGAATCGTCTCTGCAAAGGTCTCCCTGTTAGCTCCCGAGCCCTAGTAACTCCCTATTTCTTGTGAAAATGGGGGGCTTTAGGGGTAGGGACCAAACCCAGGCCAAGAATATTAAAATGAAAGCATACAGTTCAGCCCGGGGCACAACCCCTAAGTGCTGTGCGACCTTGAGCGTCACTGGAAGTGGGGCGCCCAGGAGCCCACGAACATATCACAAAGGACAGGAGAGCAGGCTTCCATTTCCAGAGCTGAAACGGAGTTCTGACCCTGGAGACTGGCTCCCTTGTGACCACTCCGGGAGGGCCGCGGGGGTTCGCTCGGCCCGCGGAGGGCCCCTCTCCCGGGGTCTCCAGCAGGCGCGCAATGGAGAGGCACGGTGGGTGCATTAGAGCCCCGAGGGGTAACGCCCAGGGGGTGCCGCAGGGAAACAGGGACAGGCCGCCGGCTTCCGCTCCCGCTTCGATTTACAGTCAGATCCAAGCCCACGGGAGGAGGGCCCGAGGGCTCCCGCTCTCTATTTGGGAGTCACAGCCACCGGAAGCGGCTGACCCCGGTGGTGCTGCAGTCTCAGGCGGAAGCCCCCTTCCGGCCGGAGCCGGCTCCACACCCCTATTCTGGCCCAAGACAATACGGGGAGTCAAGGCCTTGCGCTTCCTGACCCGTCGCTCACTGCCCCCTTCCCTCCGGCGCAGCGGGACGCAGAGCCCCGGCTCTTAGGCGGGACCCAGGCCTCGGGGGCGGAACCCTGAGGCAGGGAAGGGGAGGAGCCAGGGAGCCGGGGCGGGGCCGGAGCCTCCGTGCCTGAGGCCGAACCAGGTCAGGTCGGGCTTGGGGGCGGAGCTTGGGCCGAGGGGCGTGTCCAGAAAGGCTGGGAGCGCGGCCGGATGCGGTGCTTCGGGGCGGCGGGGCAGGATAGGTCGCAGAGTCCAGCCGGACCTGGGGACAAAGCTGCAGGGCAGGAGCACGGGCCTGTCCAGGAAGCCAGAGGTCCGGCGTGGGCCGGGGGCGGGGCCATCAGGGGCGGGGCCGCGGGGCCGGGGCGGGGCCAGGGAGTCGGGACTGGCGTCTGCCTGGGGCGGGGCCGGGGCGGGGCGGTGGGCGGGCCCGGAGGCGCGGCGCCGGGGACGCACAGGCCCCGCCCCCAGCGCCGCCCGCCGCCCGCCGCCCGCCCTGAGCGCCCGGCGGAGACCGCGGGGTCCGCAGCGCTCTGCCCGCGGGTTCCATTGAGAAAAGCCGAACGGCGGCGGCGGTGGCGGCGGCGGCGACTGCGCGAAGCAGAAGAGCCAGCAGCAGCCTGCCGCCCGCCGCCCCCGGCGGTCCGCGCGCCCGAGCGCAGGGCCTTGCCTCCGGCCTCCGCAGCGGCTCCCAGCCGGGCGCTGCGCGCCGGGGGCGGGCCAGGGCGGCCGCGGAGCTCGGGGGCCGGGGACATGAGCCGCTCCGCGGCTCCTCCGCGCCCCCGCCGCCCGCCGCCGCCCTCCAGGGGCTAGAGGCGGCCGCCGGGAGGGCGCGCGGCGCCGGAGACATGTCCAGGAGGAAACAGAGCAACCCCCGGCAGATCAAGCGTGAGTCAAACTTTGCCCGCCGGCCCGCGGCCGACCCCCGGTCCCCGCGCGCCCGCGACCTTCACCCGCGCTGCGCTCCCCGCGGCGTGCCAAGCGCGCCCTAATCTAATCTTCCCTGGCGGCCGCCCCGCGGCTCCGCTTGACACCGGGGTCCTCCCGGAGGGGCGTCCTCCCGGAGGGGCGTCCTCCGGGAGGCCTGGAAGAGTGGCTGGGGGCGCGGCCACCTCGGGCCAGCCCCTCCCCCGCACCCCCGAGATGGTGCGGCGATTAGGCGGCCCCGATCTGGGCTCAGATAAAGTTTAAAATATTCCATTCTGCAAGTCCCATCCTGATAAGATCGGTCTGTCGGGACGGGTTGAAATTGTGATCTTATCTTGCGCGGTTGACTCTCCCAGGCCTCGTATCTCGAGGGAGAAAGGGAGAGACCGGGGAGGGAGAGGGGCGCCGGGCGCCGCGTGGAAATGCGCGGCCAAGTGGCGGGACCGGCCTGCGCCCCCCACCGCTCCTGCGGGCCGGAGAGCCGCGTGGCTTGGGGGGAGGGGTTGGCCACCGCAGCGCGGACGCTCGATTCCGGCCGCTCAGACCCCCGAGCCCTTTTGGGGGGGGGTCTCGAACTCGAGCCTTTCCTGCCCGGGGACAGCTTCCCGGAAGTCCGACCGTCCTCATATCGCGGCGGAGGCCGCACTGGCATCAGATGGTGGGTTCGGATGTCCGCCGGCAACCCCCTCCCATCCGAGGCTCTTCCCCAAGTCAGGGAGGGGGTTCCCGGGGACTCGGCCAGGCCTGCCTCTGCCCGCGTCCGAGTTTCTTGCCCGTCGGTCCCACGGGCCATTCCCGGGGGCCGGGGGTCTATACTGCTTATGCTCCGGCTGTAAGAGCGCCCGCACTCGCGGGGCCACTTGGCTTGCCGGGAGGCGCCGCTCCCCACCCCACGCCAGTAATAACTTCGCGCCTAGGCGGCCAGGGGGCAGGGCTTCCCCAGGGTCGCAGCTCGCAGGCCGGAGGGGCCGCCCAGGAGGCGGCACGGGGCCCCTGGCCCGCTGCGCAGCCCCAGGCTCCCGGGCACCGCCACCACTGTCCACGTGAGCACTGCCCCCAGGACCCCGTGTGAGCGCGCCTGGGGCAGGGTCCCTCCTCGAAGTCCCAGAGAGGGGAACCGCGAGCATGAATCCGGGTTCCCGTAACCCGACTCCCTCGGTGTGCAAGCGGGACCTGTTTTCCGAAAGTCGCCTTCTGTCAAGTCAACTCAAGTATTAAAACCACCCACAGGTCCCGATCTGCGCCTGGTCTCCGGTTTCTTTTCCGCCTCCTCCCCTGGGCGCCTCTGCTCGCCGTGTTCTCGTGTGTGCGTGTGTGTGTGTGTTTCGGTGTGATGAGAAATGCCGACAGCGCGAGCAGGGACATCGCAGGTGGGAGCTGATCGCCGGCGCCGATAAGGCCCGGAGCGGGGCGAGCCCTCGGGTCGGGCTGGGTCGGCCGAGCGGGGAGCGCTGGGGACAGGCACCGAAGCGCAGGCGGGCGCCAGCCCGGGCCGGGAAACCGGGGAGAGAGCGGGGCCTGCGAGGCGGGACTGGGCGCCCTCCCTGCAGCCCGGGGCGCTGGGCGCCTCCTCCCGCTGGCAGATCTTGGTTTGTTAAGATGCGAGCGCTGATTGTCACCGAGCGGCGGCGCCCGCCCGTCCGCCCTCTGCCCGCGGCTGTGCGTGCGGCCCCGCAGTTGTGCGCCCGCCTAGCCGATCTCACCTGCGACCAGGCCGCGGGGTGCAGGGCAGGAGGCCGAGCGCTTGGGGCCGCCGCCGCCCCCTGCACCCCTCCCAGGCTGGGGCGCAGCTGCCCGCGCCTCTGTGCGCCTTTTGTTCCGCGCGAAGATAGATGTGCCGCGCTGATAAGGCGCGCAACCGATGGCGGCGACGATAGGCGCTTCCATTTATTAACTTCAAACGTGGGAGCGGGGGAGGGCGAAGAGCGAGCGCGGCCTTGGCCGGCCAGATGGCTAACACGATAGGCCGGGCGGCGCTGGCGGGAAGCGCAGGCCGGAGCCCAGCTCGGGACCCTCGCGCCCCCGGCCCGCCTAGCTTTCCTCCCGCCCCGGTCGATGTGAGCTCGGATAAGCGCCAGGCGGGTCGTCCGGATGGCGATCGCCAAGAGCGATAAGAGGCCTTATCTTTGGCCACCAGGCCCGGCCGGGTTCGAGGCAACAGCAGCGCGGGGGCGACGCGGCCGGGGGGAGCCGGGGCCTGGGACCCGATAGGGGGGCGGGGGCCGGCGTCCGCGCCGGGCGGTCTGGGCGAGTTTTCATCCCAAACACACTCAAGTGCCAGGAAGTTGGTCCTCCCCCTGCGGGTGGTACAGTCCGTCAGAAAGAGCGAACTGACTCAGCTGGCCCAGAGCCGGTGGGGGGCAGGACAGCGCGCCCCTGATCCTGTGAGATGGTGTGAGATAGCCAGAGGTGGGGTTTGTCACCTCCACAAGGACATGGGGTGCTCCCCCTAGAATCAGGCTTGGGTTGGTGTCCTTCCTGGCAAGTGTTAGGTATAACCTGTTTGGAGTTTTCTTGAAAAAAAAAAAATTGAGGCTTCCATTGCCAGCCTGTTTTAGGAGGACCTGGTGTGCTGATGTCTTTTTGAGCAGGTCCCCCAAAATCAGGAGGGAGGTCTGAGCAGACCCAGGTCAGTCCACTCTGCCAGTCTTCACTGGACACTTGCCGTAGGCAAGCGCCGGGTCCCAGCCGCT